GGATTGAGGAGGCGGAGACGGTGGGGTGCTTGGACACCGCAGAAAATGTGTCGCTGAAGGAGAATGGACGTCGCAAGCCAGAGGCGGCAACGACACGCACGCGGGTACACAAGGAGGACTCCGAAGTGAAGCCCAGGCAACAGCAGCGGTCGGGGACAAGCAGGACAACCACTACGCATGCGCGCGACAGGGACGGCGGCAGCGTTAATCTGAGCGTGTAGACACTGCAAGTGGAAGGCTGGCACCACGTGTCGTCACGGAGCCTGCAGCTGACACTACTTCAATGGGAGTGAAGTGATACCTTTATGGGCGGCTGGGCCCACGTTTTCCTTTCTTGCTGGCGGGTTTTCGCCCTTGGTCAGCTTCACATAACATGCACGGACACATGGCATGCCTGCAGCTGAACTAAGAGACGCGTTGACTTTGTGTGGCCCTTGTTGCTTGTATCATTATATTCACCGCGTCATACTGTATTGTCCTTTTTTTTTTATGTGCGTGTGCGTGTGTGTTTAGTGCAGCGGCAAAATTGGGAACAAAATACGCGGAAAAGGGAGAGGCACGGTGGGGAGGGCAAGCAAACAGGCATCAATAAGGGGAGGTAGAGCCCTCTTGGATTTTTGTTTTTGTTTTTCAGGTTTACTGTGTGGTCTTTGCTGAGGCTCCATGGGCGTTTTGGGGCTGCGCAAGTTTATTGACGCCTCCTCCTGCACAAGATTTCTCCCCGAGACTGCACAAGATGCGGAGGCGCCCTCCTCTGCCCATAGCGGTGAAGCAACGCACACGGCGGTGGCGGCGGCGGCGGGTGACCACCCGGCACTTTCCTCAAGCCCCACGGTGACGCCACACGTGGATCACGTCCTCGTGGATTTGAACTGCATCATCCACGCCTGCTTCGGCCGTGGGGCGTCCACAGCGACGAAGCGGGAGGTGGTGCAGGCCGTGCTGGAGCAGCTGCGTGTCCTGCTGACGCTGGTGGTGGTGCCGCGATTGTCCTTGACGATATGTGTCGATGGCCCTGCACCGTATGCGAAACTACAGACGCAGCGGCTGCGCAGGCGGCGACTGGCCCTACTCGATACGAGTGGGGCGCAGCAGTTGACCCCGCTCGCTGTGACGCCGGGCTCTTTGTTTCTTGTGGAGTTGGAGAACGCCCTGGCAGCGCAGTTCAAGCTGCGAGGGGGACGCGGATTTTTGCCCCACTTCGTTCCTGTATTTCTGCACGGCTCCACAGCGGCGGGCGAGGGTGAGGCAAAGATTGCGCGGGCGCTGGCCCACTTGGCCACCACTGCTCTTCCGCGGGGCGAGCAGTACGACCCGAACCACACGGTTGTTGTGGTTGGCAACGACATCGATCTCACCCTGACTTGCCTGGGGGCGACGCAGTACCACAACCTCTTCGTGGTGGGGCCGTCCTCGATGCAGCTGATCAGCGTCGCCGAGATGCTGTACCGGTGGCTGCGTAGCGGGACACAAGGGACCGGGGAGTTTCGGCTAACTGTGCAGGAACTCGCCTCTGTGCGGGTGGACTTTGTGTTTCTCTTCCTCCTCAACGGTGGCGACCACTACGCCGGGGTGGGAGATGTGGCGCACATTTTGTGGAAGCGCTACCGCACAGTGCGTGCGGCCTCGATGCGGCGTTGCCTGGTGGCCCCTGATCTGACGTCCATCGACTTGGAGTTCCTCTCGGACATTCTGCAGGCCTCCGACTACAGCGGGGGTTCCGACACGGAGGTGGGCGTGGAGCTGCTCCACTCCACGCTGTGGTCGCTTTACACCACCGTCACCGGCGTGTGCCCGGACTACCAGTACGTGCCGACGTCCACCTCGCCCCACCTCAACCACCTGCGTGAGGCGGTGGTGCACTGCCTGAAGCACCGCCGCGGCATTCGCATTCAGCCCCAGCGTGGCTCCAATGCACCGCTGACGCCCTTGGAGACGTTTGTCGCACTGATGCCCACAGAGGCGGGTCTTCCGTCCGGCGTGGCACAGGCGCTTCGCTCCTCACGCAGGTACGACTCTGTAGCCCAGCAGCTGCTCACGAGTAATGATCCAGCGGTGGTGGCGGCGGCAGCCAAGCAGGCCGTCGCGGCTGCATGCGAGTACCTGACGGTCAGTGAACAATGCCTGCGGGATTTTACGTTACCTGTGCAGCTGAACGTCCCGCAGCCCCCACGGCGTCTTTCGCGCCACAAGCAGCATCGCATGCTTGCAACACAAGGAAGGATTGAGCGAGAGGAGCCGATTCCTTTTGTGGAACAAGTCACACTGCCGGAGACATTCTGCTACGTGGATGCCACGTACCCACCGTACGTGAAGGAACTGCTCTTTTTCTCACCATTTGACGGAGGAGCGGCGATGCAGTCGCCCGGCAATCACAACGTCACCGTCGCGGTGCAGCCCTTTGCACCCAACGCCGTCCGTGGGCCACGAGGGCGCCTGAGAGGCAGGCGTGGGGGCAGCGAGGCTGCAGTGCGGCGCATTCCTGTGCACATGCAGCCAAGCGAGGAGGTCTCTGCGATGCGGCAGATGCAGATGACGCTTGAACAGACGTCGTCCTTGCGAATGCCGGAGGGGGGTGACAAGAAGACACTGCGGCGACTTAAAAAGCGACTCAACGCTCAGCGGCATCTCGTTGAGAAGCAGCTGCGCAGCGAGGAGAGCGGCACTGAGGCGAAGCGGCACATGTTTCGCCAGGGTGACAAAGCCTTTCTTGCAGAGCTGCGGCAGTTCTTGGGTGAGGATGACGGCAGCGTGAGGCAGCTTCTCCAAGACGACGGGAACGGGGCTGAAAGAAACAACGCACAGCAGGGGAATGCAAAGAAGAGAAAAGCGAAAACTTCGGGTTCAGCAGCCAAGGCGGCACCGCGTGGACGCAAACGTGGCAGGGAGACGATGGACACATCGTCCGTGAAACCTGCAAGTGAAGGGGGAGGCCGGCGGGATTCCCCCAACGGAGAATCGAGAGATGCAAAGAGACAGCAACGGGAAGGAAACTGTACGGTGTCTCATAATCACACGACTCTTGCTGCCGCTGGCATGCGCGAGAGGACTCCCCGCGGTGCCGTCGGTAATCGCCCAGCGAACCCGCTGCCGCAGCCACCGAGGCCTAAAAGGCAGGCGACTAGGAGGAAGAAGAAGGCAGCGGCAAAATTTGACTAAGTGTTAATTGCACGCACATACTGCGTGCTGTGGCGATTATTTCCTTCCTTCTCTCCCTCTTGTTGGCTCTGCGTTTCTGAGTGAAGGTGGAGCACCGCGGGCATCATCCCCGTGCATAGCGGGCTCTCACTGCCTCCTGCTGCTGCATCTATTTCTTTTTCCTCCTATTTTTTGTTGTTGCTCTTCTTGCTTCGGATCCCCGCTTAGTGACGGGGGTGTGGAGCTGGAGAGCTGGCGGTGTCGTGGATTAGGCACACTTCAATATAAATACGTATATATTTACGGCGAGATTGGTGCGTGGGGTGTGCGCTTTTCACGTCATCCTTTCAACTATTACCAGCGTGAGAGTAATACGTAGAGATATGCCTGCAGGGATGCTCCGCGGGCGTGGTGGCTGTAGGAACCCCGGCCTCAGGCAGTCGCGGGGACGCACAGACGCTCCTCATGCATCACGTAGAAGGGAAGGAGGGACAACAAACACGGAAACAATAGAAGCGTCGAGATTGATATCAACATCTGACACACCGCTGCCGTGTTGGCATAACTCGCGGCCGACAAGCACGTTGCTATCTTCAGTGGGCCTTACTGCTACTGGCAAGAGTGGAGATATGGCACCTTTTTGCGACTCAGGTATTTCCCAAACGAGTAGTAATTTAGCTTACAAGGGGCTGTTTCAAAGTCCGCTCCCGTTACTGGGGAATAGCAGCGGGGCTGACGTTTCTCCACTGCGCTACCGTACCGACCTTGACAAGCACGTGATTCACTTTGCCTTTCAACGTTTTCCGCACAGCATCGAGATTGTGGAGGACGAGGAGGTAATGTCGAATGACTGGCACTTCTTCTGGATGACGGTGGGGCGCGTGCGCACCATCTTCGCCACGGCGGAGTACCGCCTGTCGGAGTCGCAGATCATCAACCACTTCCCGAACCACTACGAACTGACGCGGAAGGACCTTATGTACAAAAACATCAAGAAATACATCCGCGATGTCAACAACGCCCACCCGGTGGTGCAGTGCACACCACCCTCCTGGACGCCGCACGAACAGACTGAGAGGTTACCTAATTTGCTGCGCTTTGCGGATTGCGTGCCGGTAACGTACAACATCCCGAACGACCTGCATATGCTGAAGGAGGAGTTTAAACGGCAGCCCGGCAGCACATGGATTGTGAAGCCTACTTCGCTCTCGCAGGGTCGTGGAATATTTCTCATCAACCGCATTGTGCAGCTAAAAAAATGGCTTAAGGAGCGGAAGGAAATGGACGAGGTGGAGGGGCTTCCACCGACGGCGTACGTCATTTCCAAGTACGTAGCAAATCCACTTTTGATTGGTGGAAGGAAATTTGACTTGCGCCTTTACGTGCTCGTGACCTCCTTTAAGCCACTGGTGGCCTACCTGCACGAGCAGGGCTTTGCCCGCTTTTGTGCCACGCCCTACGCCGCCAATGCCCTTAACGACGACAACCTTTGCTCACACCTTACCAACGTGGCGTTGCAAAAGGGCGAGGAGACGTACAACGAGATGCATGGCGGGAAGTGGTCGTTGGCGAACTTGTGCCTTTTTGTGCAGGGGCGTTACGGGGCGGTGTGCGCGGATGGGTTGATGCGGAGCATTGAGTTTACCATCTACCACAGCCTCAAGGCGATGGAGAACGTGATGTTTAACGACCGGCACTGCTTTGAGCTCTACGGCTACGACATCCTCATCGACGACTGCCTGCGACCCCACCTGATCGAGGTGAACTCGTCCCCGTCGCTCTCAACCACGACGCTGTCGGACCGGCTGCTGAAGGAGGAGGTGCTGGCGGATGTGTTGAGCATCATCTTCCCGCCGTTCTTCCCAAGCTCGCGGGCGATGCCGTACTGGGAGTACCGTTTGCGGACAGATTTGACGACGGCGGTACCGACGGGATTTCGACTGTTGCAT